GTAGATGTCATTAAATTAATTACACTGAAACATAATATAATAACCAGACATCGTGAATCCGCGTGGGACGTCTTTATTGAACGCGAGGCAACGCGAAGCAACACGAAGCCATTCGAGGCAACCATTTTGCCAATATTTTAGAGATTTAACGTAGTTTTAAAAAATGTACGATGTTTTAACATGAATAAAATGCTGAATGCTACATCCTCATTAAGTAATGCCAGATTTCTCATAGACTATATTTTTATCTTTATCTTGATTAAGTTATTTTTGCCGAATGTCGAACAAGCACGCCATACTTCAAAGAACCTTCGGTAGCACGTCATAACCCGACTGTTGAAAAAGTCTGCCGTGCGCGTCCTTCTATCTTCGCTCCCGCCGGGAGCAGTAAAAGGTGTCTGTTTTACTCTGAAACTCGAAGCGACGAATGCTAACTTCGCACGGGGTATTTTCGTGTTCGTTGGCCGGGTTTTAGAGCAGAGGAGCAGAGGCAGTCTCGTTGAGAGACGGTTGTATTTGCAGGCTTTTGCCGCGTGACAAACGAGCATGAGTAACGCAACGCATCAATTTGGTTCCAGTACCGCGCCAAATTAACTATTGTTTACGTCGCTACTGTTGTACACTTTTCTTGTTGTTTTCGATTAATGCGGATCTGCAGGGATCGGATGAATACCCGAGTTAAATTCGTACTTATTAAGAAATATTTTACTTTGGCGGGACTTTCAAAGTTGAATAGCATCATGGTTTCGATTTCTAAACCATTCGAAGTGAAGACATGGAGGCGGCCGACTCGACGAGAGCCTCTCCGTCAGATTTCAACATTTCGAGTCTTTCGAGGGTTACAAGCCCATCACTTGACGCTCGAAAGCATTGGTATGTCCTCAAGAAGGAAATTTGTGGTGTCCGACCGGCGGACTTTTTGAGAAACGAGATATTTAGGAGATTTCCCGACGAAATACGAAGTGTAGCAACCCGGGAACTTCAACCCGCCAAATCGGCGTTTGTTGTCGTTGAGTTCAACAGAATGCCAAGTACCGTCTTCGTCACTTCCACGTTCGGCTTAATTGCAGGCCTTATTCGTCAGAAAGGTATTCCACCAAACAGCCTTATCAATTCGCCACGTTTTCTGCCAGTTGTTGGTCTGCTAAACTCCGTCGCATTGGATTTGGACAATGATTTGGACCCCGATCGCGCGGAAGACATTTCTTTTGGCGGGAAAATCTACCAAAGCTCAGTGGAGCTCAGTTCCTTGCTCGCTGAAAGAACGGCGAAGATAGACTCTCTTGAAATACAGATAAAGGATCTTCAAGCTCGGATTGCAGAATTCGAGTCGTTCATGGAAACAAGTTTGAACGATTCATCCTTTTCCGATTTGTCTTCCCCGTGTTGCTCCTCGACGCCGTCAAAATCATGCCTGAGTTCCTCGTGTAGTTCAATCGAGGATACAAAGATCTGTCCAGATTTGGGATCCACGAACAAGAAACGGCTGGTGCTTAAAAAATGCAGGGAGGTTAACGCTGCCCTGGAGGACGTTTCTGCAAAGTACCATGAGTCAATCGCTTCTGTCCTGGGGAACACCTTTTTGTGTGGCACAAGTGAGGAGAGAGGAAAGGTACGGGATACCATCTCCGAAGTCATAGACTTGGTAATGGAATCAAATGGTACCAAGAAGGCCTTGTCTCAGCTCCTCTCTCCAGAAACACAAGCGCGTATATTTGAAAGCATGCGTGTTCCAGACTGGGTGCTGTTGTATTTCAAGTTACAAACACGGTTGCCTGATTCAGCATGGCAGACATTGCTGAACTTAACTCGACTGGGAAAGAGTGGGGTAAGTTTTTAAGCTCACTGAAACAACTTCTAGTTACATGTAAGCTTAAATAATAATAATGAAAAATAGAACCATAATGATGGATGAATAAGTATTTAAATCAACCCTAAATTACCTTGTGATTTGGTTGTCATTCTCATCTTGAGGTGCATGTTGGGGTGGGGGTGGGAAATTATTAAAATAATTCAGCAAGGGTTTAAGAAAGAGGGTCCCTAACAGATATAGATGCATTGACTTTTTAACCGCGCGGCCATGGGCCGAGCGCGGTTCATGGTTTACCCGTGGTTTTTTAACCGCGCGGCCATGGGCCGAGCGCGGTTCATGGTTTACCC